ATTCGCTCCCCCACCTCCACTGAAGGATTGGAAGGATGCGAGTTGTCGAAGCTCTTGGAAACATTAGCTGAGATTTCATCAGTTAGCAATACCTGTCCTCTAAGTTGCGATGGCATTGACGCTTCTTTATTATGATTCTTAGGGTTTTTTCGAGAAGGTTCTATGAAAACTGCGCTCTTATGTCTCTTCCCTCCTTCATTACCTCGACTACCTTTCACAGAGCATGCCTTCCGAAGGGATTCACGCACATTGACCCTCTCTTTCTCATTTTTGGATTGAACGGGATCGACTTGCGTTGTCCCAATTGTCTTCATATCCCGTGTTTCTGGATTTTTCCAAATCAATGCATCTAATCCAAACGGGTCTGACAAATTCAATCCATCTCTTACTATTTGGGATTATTACGTTTCAGAAAGTTGAGGTTTCAGAAAGTTGCTTATGTAGAGGAATTATTACGTTTCAAGGATGATTGGGATCAAGTTATTGAATCTATTTTCTAATAAAATTATAAAATTAAATTAAATTAAAACATATCTAACAAGAAAAAGGTAATACAAGTAAAACACAAATAAAACTCCCAAAGGGTTACATCTAATCCTATTTGTTGAATCAATGAAGCTTGTCTTTAAAAAATATACATTAACAAGTTTATAAATGTGAATTCAATATAAAAATGATAACTAATAACGTAAATGTAGAAACATATATATTTTAACACAAAATTAAATACTCTAGAAATCAATAATTTAAAACTTAGAAATCTGAATCACAACTCATAATAAGGAGCAAATCTTGCAGGACTGGATGCAATTTTTTTTTGTAACTTGAACGAACTGTTAAATTAATAAAGATACCAATTTATGATTTATTAATTAAAAAAATGCTAGAATGATTGATATGCTGGATTGTGTTTAAAAAACGCTAGGTGGAAGGTATGCTTGAAGAATTCTTAAAAATCCTTGAGAATGTAAATTTTGGAGTGTTTTAAGAAAATGTCAAGCGTGATTTTAGTGCAAAAACTAACTAGTAATTATAAATATAATTAATGAAAGTTGATTTAAGTAATGCGTGCTTAATTTTGTAAAACAGCTAAAATAAGCAACATTGTCTATTATGGATGATATCTATTATTTTTAAAAATATATATTTAAATGACTATCGGATGAAGTGTAATGACTACAGTCATTTACTACAACTAAATTTAAAAATGCATTAAATAATCTTCAAATGACTCTTCACATTTGAAATTCAAATTAACCAACCAATAAATTAACACTTCATCAACCTTCAATGACCTACTTCATGTCAATTTAACGATCCATTTCGTCTTGAACATTACTGCAAGAGGATGTATTGAACACGAAACCAGTAAATTTTTTTACTACACCAAATTCAATATTAATTTTAAGCATGTATTTTTATATTTATTAATTTTAAAATAAAAATATTATTTTAATGACTAAGATCTCTTCCAATGATAATGTCATTGCAGAAGATTCTTATCCAACCAATGATCAATCTAGTTAGAAAATCATTGAATGTTCAGTTGAGCTATTCTTTGTTTTTTAGTATTAATAGGCTATTCTTATTTTTTAGTATTAAATCAAGTTTTTCCTTAAACTTTTGTTCTGGTAATGACACAAAAACATAAAGAAATATTACTTTGATGTGATTCTGATATCTTTTTTTTTTTACTATAACAATGTTTCATTCAGCTTATTTTAAATAAACTATTATTAATTCTCATTAATTTAAAAAAATATTTTCTTTTATAAATTTTTTTAAAAAAATACATGATACAAGTTTATTCTAATATACCAGTTATATGGAATATAAAATACTATATGAGTTACATATGATGTCGCTTTTGCACGTGCTTTGTTTAGATGTCAAGAAAATGTGAGGGGAAAAAAATAAAAAATAAAACCTTTTCCTTTTTATTATGGTGGGAAAAATAGTAAGATAAAATATCATATATTCATGTTGAAATTAATTTCATAAAAAATTAATTATAGTATAATCTTTTTAATACTATCATCAAATTATAAGTTATTATTATAGTAAAAATTATTGACTTTTGTAGTAATTAATTTAACAATTATACTAATAAAATATTCTAATTGATTGATTATGTAAAAATATTTAAGGTTCAGAGTTTACACTTACAATACATTAAAAATTAATTTCTAATAATAAATTCGTTGGTAAAAAATTTTCATTTACACAAACTATTTCTCGAATCAGGATCCTCTCTCATTTTGGCGGGAACAGAACTCTCCAGTTAGGCAAAATTTTGTATTTTTACTTAAACAAAAATACAAAATTAACGTAACTGTACATCCAGTTACGGGAGATGATCCGAATCTCTATTTTTTCCATTTTATAATTAAAGGAGAGAGAAAATTATGTAAGCCTCATAGTGTGTGTATATATATATAATTTTATTTTTCTCATTGTCTCTTAGATAAACCAATATTTTTTTTTTCATTAATCATCACTCATTTCCTTTTTTCTATGTTTTCAAACACTATATAATTCAATAATGGACTGAGTTGCATAAATTTGTTAAGAAAATAAGTATTTGACATCCCTTAGAATGTAACTTTACATTACAATAAATTTTTTAATTTAGTCTTTCAAAAATTAAAAAAATAGTATTAAGTAGATTTTTTAAATGTCTAAATCAATAAATTGATCCTTCAAATATTTGAATTGTTATTAGGTTAGTCTTGTAAAGTTTTAGTCACTAAATTAGTCACTTTAGTTTTTATTAATCATTATTTTAATAAAATTTTAAATATTCTTAAGATTTAATTTATCGTTAAACTCTTTTTACCACTCTAATATTTATTAAAGACCAATTTTCTGATATTTTATATTTTTGAAGAATTAATTTTAAGATAAATTAAAAATATTTAATTTAATCACAAATATTTTAAAAACTAATTTATGCGTACAACCTTTTATAACATGCTTGTGGATAATTTAATCTTTAGAAGACTATTTAAAAAAATTTGATTAAGATGAAAAAAGTAAACGAGTTAAATTAGAAATAATATGATTATCACTCTTATGCTTAAACGAAGAATTTAGGAAAAAAAATAAAAGGATTACAAGACTTAAGATGCATTTGATGGATACAATTTAATTAAATATTTATTTAATGAATTTTCATACGAGTTTATCTAATATCATAACATTTAAAAAAAATGAAAAATATTATTATAAAAAATTGGTTAAAATAAAATTTAATAAAGATTATAAAAACTATAAAACATTTTTATATACTCTTCCAAACGTTTCCTTGATCAAATTTAATTCTCTACACATTTGGAAAGAAAATGAAGGGAGAGATTTGTTTTATTTTTCCGATGATATCTTTAACTTTTTGGATTAGTCTTCGTGTTTTGGGTATTTTTAGTTTTCTTAATATGATAAGATTCCCATAATAACAACGGGTTCAACTAAAACTCAAGTCCCATTTTCGGTGAAGTAACAACTCTTGTACTTATGCATATAAAGCTCAAAACCTGAAAAATAATTGGTTCATTTCTTGTCCTTTAATTTTAATAGTTTCTTAAAGGATAGTTTTAATATACAGTAAGGGCAAAAATATATATAAAATAACATTATATTTTCATAACGTTACAACAATATTTATATTATTAATAAATTATATTAAAAATATAAAAATAGCATATAAAATAATATTAATATTATATGTATAATTCATATTTTTTAAAAACATAATTACTATTTAATAGTTTTTTCTTTTCATTTATCAACTAAATAAACAAAAAAACAACTCATCTTTATTCCTTTCTACTTTGTTCATACCAAATAACTTAAAAAATCATTTTTTTTACTTTTTCTATAGATCTAAATTCATTTTATTCTTTTTTGAAATAAAATGAAGTGTTAAGAGGAAAGATAAATAGAAAAAAAATATAACGAGAACAAGAATGAATCTTAAAAAAACAACAAAAAGTACAAATATTAGATGGATATAGAAATAAAGTATAAAAAATAAAGTTTAATTATAAATTTGATTTTTATATTTAATATTATTTTTTATTTTTTTTCATCTGCTTTAATATGGATTTGATTCAAATATGTACTTAAATATAGTAAGTAAGTCTATTATTAAAAAATTTTATATACACAAAATTTGAACTTAAAATATTGTTTAAGTGATATTGAGTCACTTGCTATTCGAACTAATTTTTATTAATATATTATTTTTTATTTTAACTTTTATATAAAAAATTTTATATAAAGTAGCTTATGAATAAATTTTCGTGGTCGAGGTAAAATGTTAAATTTGATTTATGAACTTAAAATTACTTTTTATCTTAACCTTTATATTTATACTTCATTAGTCCCTACATATGTTATGCCATTTTTTGTTCGATCCATGTAAAAAAAATTATAACACTGTTATAACTTGGATAAATAATGAAAATTACTTAATATTTTTTAATATAAACTAAAAGAAAAATAATTTAAGTGTAAAACTAAAATGATAATTTAATAAGATATTGAATGTTGACTTATTGAACAGTGAGAGCACTAAAGAAATTGAATATTCGGCATGGGTGTTTTCCCTCTATTTTGACCGCAATGAAAAATGAGTGAAGGGAGTGTGTGGTGGCCAAAGATGGCAAAAACCTTATTCATACGTTTCAGAGATGACGATCAACTTCTAAAAATAGAAGGTTTCATTGAAGATGCACATGCTAGCAGTTTCGTTCATTCTCTCCTCCAACCAAATTCGCGAGTTATCCCACGCACCACCACAGTCGCGTGCCATTGACGACAACATACTCAAATAATAATGTCATTATTAATTTTTTCATGGTTAACTGTGTCGTCATTAGTTAAATTCCATTTCACCATAAGAGTAAATTCATACAAAATGAACCCCAAACTCAAATTCAAATGAAATTGCAAACGTTATATATACAGAGCAAGTGCCACCCCTGTGCCCCCAGCTCAAGCACAAGAGCAATGGACTCATAGTAGTAGCAGTAGTAGTGAATAACACTACCCTTTTTCCCCTACTTCACAATCAAATCAACGCTTCCATTTCCAGGCGGCGGCGCAACCGATTCCTCCGCCGCATATGGCCAAAGGTCGCAAATTGACCACCAGCCGCAGCGAGCGCTTCTTAGGAACCTACGCCTTCAGCCAAGTCTCCGCCGCCGTCGACCCATCCGAGCTCCGGGAAGAGGATGTCTGGTCCACCGGCGAAGATGCTGGTGAACGTGACTTGAATGTTTCGCTCGGCGAGTGGGAGCCACACGCTGCCGCCGGAAGCAACGGCGGATCCTCCGGTCGTCACCGGCGACGGATTCCCCGTGACAGGGACGACCACCGTCCCGTGGGTGGCCTGTCGCTGGCGTTCGAAGACCCAGCGATTAACGCGTCGCCGAGGATAGTGCACCAGTTCCGGGCGCGTGAGGAAGCGGCGTCGACGCCGCGTGGACGCCACGTGGCGACTTCAGCGCCGGTGAACGTGCCGGACTGGAGCAAGATACTCCGAGTGGACTCGGTCGAGTCGTTGCACGACGCCGACGAGGGTCTCGAGGAGGACGAATCGGAGATTGTGCCGCCCCACGAGTACTTGGCCCGTAGCCGGAAGATGGCAGCGAACTCGGTGTTTGAAGGGGTGGGTCGCACGTTGAAGGGCCGAGACTTGAGCCGGGTTCGCGACGCGGTGTGGAGCCAAACCGGGTTCGATGGCTGAAGGTCCGGTTCAGTTATGGGCTTTCTTGGGTAAGTGGTTAGGCCCTCTTTGTAATTGAATTAATTGTGATTATTATAATTATTATTGTGGTTGTTAATCCGATTCTAAGTGATTGTTAGTTAAGAACGATTTGTTTTGGTTTTGGTGGTGGGCAATGATTCGGTTGGGTGGACTCGGCTGAAGAGAGTCCAACTCAGTGGCCAGTGAGCCTAAGCAGTAATAAATTATTAATTAGCTTGTAATTCAATTTGGAATTTCTAAATTCTGATTAAGAACTTCTCCGCCCAATGCCACTTTATTTTCTCTTTGTTCAGCGAATTTGCCATCCTGCGTTTGTTAATTGTGAAAGGGAAAGCAAATTAAGTGTATATGTGATGATGAAATGTATAATCACTGAGCAGAGCGCTGTTCATGGTTAGTTTAATTTGTACTTTTTGTTAAAACTATAAACAATGCTAAATAATATTATTGCGGTTTTGCAGATAATGAGACAAATAACACCGTTTTCTTTAAAAAGTGTTTCAAGGGCACTTTGGTTGGTTGGTGCTTGTGCAAATAATGAGAATAACATAAGTTCTTGCACTGAACTTTTGAAATAAGGATCTAATTTGTTATGGAGAAGAAAAAATTCAACTTTTCGTTTATTTTAATATTTATGCAACAGTGCATGCTATTTTATTTTTCCTATCCAGAGTCGCGGAAGTCAAAGCCACGGGCCACCAAAGTGAATGTTTAAAGTAAATAATACTATGTTATAAGTAAAAGTAAATAATGCTCTCATTTTTCTTTTTAAAATATACAGAAGACGTGCAAGATGAAATGAGAACATAATTGTAAAATACTATTATTCTATTAAAAATGAAGTAAAGGAAAATTATGTTTCCTTTACAATGTTATTGACATATCTCGTAATTTCATATAATTTATCAATCCACTCCTATATTTGAAATTGGAGATTAAACAGTAATTTTCTTTATCATGGTAATTTCATTTGATACACAAACTTGTATATATTAACACCATCGATGCAATAATATCTCATCTCGAAAAATTATTAGGTGCTGCATGAGCAAGATAGTTATCATCATTTTATATAACTTAACTATAACATTCGATATAATAAAATAATAATGACCTGTACAGTTGAAATGGTATTTATTTAGTGGTACCTAGTAAGAGATGTCGAAGTGATAATGATGCTTCTACACTGTTTACTTACTCGTGGAGCAATAACAACTACAAGTGTCTTTCGATCATTACTTTCAACTCGTGATTTTGAAATCACATAAGCTTAATTATTATTCTAGCATTTTGAAAGAAAAATGCCCTACTAATATATGATTTATTATTGTGAAATAAATGGATAAATACAATGTTATTAAACCTATTTAAATGAACCTACAATGTTTTATACTATCTATCAATAGTTTAAGTTTTTTAAAAATTACATTCAATTTTTAATTTACCTAACTTTTAATCGTAATTATAAAAAAATATTTTGAAAACAGTAAAACGCGTGAGAAATATTCGAATGAAATGGCAATATTTAAATCAAGCGAACCTGCCAATCCTTACGAAATTGAGTAAGGTAAAAAAAATTCCAATCAATGCTAGATTTGAAAATTTCCAAATTCAATATTCTAAGAGTTGCACGTAATGGTTTTACTGGTGCAATAATTAGCCTAAAATCTTCCTTATATCTATATTATATGATGATGTCACTCCATCTTATTGTATTACAAATAACTTATTTTTTTGGTCTGATGTTACAAATAACTTTAAAATTGACCATCAACTCCCAAATATATCAAATCCAAATTATCTTATTTGATGAACAAAAATTTGTGGACAAAGACAAAGGGGTCCACACATAGAGAATGCCTTTCGATGGAAAAGTGATGGAAGCCTACAGCATTGGGACAAGTTTACTCAGATCCAAGAGTAGGAGTGGTGATTAATCTGTGCCTATTTTAATCATACTAAGTTTAATAAGAAAATTTGGTGTATAGTTAGGCCATATCATTGTCACAACTAACCATGCTTCTAAACACTTCATGGCTAAGACCTGACAAAGGATAAACACTTCCAATGCGCCTTTTTTTCTGTAAGGTGGGACAAGCTTTCAGTGAACCATTAATTATTATGCATAGAAAGGTTATATTAGTTGGGATGAGATCGCTTTTTTAAGAGGAAGAACTTAGCAAACTAAAGGTTGATGATGATCAGTTACTATTTACGCACTTTTCCTCTACTTGTAGGTGTAATTACTCAATTATTATTTTAACAAAATTTCATTTCCTGAGTCACTGTCATTGTGTTACCCAACAAAAGGAGGCTTGCGTTAACCATAGAAAATTGTGAGAAAATAAGGGGGGGAAATGGTATATTATGCATTCCAAACGCTACTAACTAGTTGAAATATTATTTGAAAGTAGTGTTTCTGCAATTGGATGAATCTGTTTTATATCATCAAAGTAGACGTGTAAACAGAGATTCCAAGCTGCTTACAACTCTTAAGTGTGCTTTCCTTAGAGATTATTTAATTTGGGGATTAAACTTTAACCAATTTGCATTTTTCTTTTGTCAACTACTATTTCTTTAAAATAATTACTTATTTTTATAGTTTTATGGGAGAACTTAACAACAAAAACAACCTAATCCATATATGTACTAAGATGCAATTTGAGTATACTTTTTAAAAAATGCTTTTAGGAGAAGAATATATGAAAGTAAAATAAATTGTAAAAAAATCATGGGCTGAAATTAAATTATGTATTTCAAATTTTTGAGAAGTTAAATGTAAGAGCTTCTAAAAAGAAGCAAAGGAGCATAATACTACTTATATTCCTATTTATTTATCTACAGAAATAAGAAAATTAAAAAAGCTAAAAAATTTAAGTATTTTATTAAAATTATTAAATGAACTTCATATTTTACCTATATTAATGAGTAGTGTCTTTGACTTCTAGGCTACTTAATCAGGATAACTAGTTCATTTATTGTGCTTCAAATTTTAACTTAGGAAAAAGAGTATTAATAAAAAATAATAATTAATATTATTTTTATTTTTATTTTTATATAAATAGAAAAAAATCATCTTTTCTCTAGATAAATAACTAAAAAAAAAAAAGATAATTCAATATAAGGAGCAAGACAAACTTATCTAATCCATCTAATCAAATTAAAATCCCTGTTTGGGCTAAGCCATCGTTTCCAGCTCAATATTTATTTTCAGCCAACCCGGGCTCATCCTAGACCAAAATATTGGCCAGCCCAAATATTTCCGAACCCGGGCTCAAGCTATACCAAAATATTGGTCAGCCCAAATTTGGCCCAAGTGTGGCTATTTAATTTTTAAAATAGTAGCAAGTTATATGCAAGATGACCAGATTTTGAAACCTTGCTCTTGAAATTTTTCTCATTCTCTTCTCCCTCTCCGATGACAAAAAAATAAATAAAAATAGTATATGACGGTTTATTTTGTTTTTTATTTATCATATTTAAAAAGAACAGAATTAAATTGAATTATAAATGTTTTTTTTCTATGCTTATCTAAATATTAATGTAGAGTATAATTTATTAAAAGTATTTGTATTTTCTAAAGAAATATTTTGAAATTATTTTAATTTGTAATTTAGATTACTTTATAATTTATGATGAGACTAAATACTTTTAATAAGTTTTTTAAAATTTATTATATGATATATATTTGACTTCTAATTTAAATACTATTTTAGTCCTTATAAGAAATATATTTTTAATTTAATTTATATATAAAAAAGTTAATTAAACAATATTTTAAATAAAATTATTTATAAAATGATCCTTGGAGTTATCTATTGTTATTACATTATTATTTCATATTTTTATGTTTTTCCTTTATTACTATAAATTTTATACCTACACATGGCATATCTTTCCTCACAATTCATATACATAATATACCTTTTTTAGTACTTACATAAACAATATTATATATAAAAATAACAAGATTAAAATAATAGCTATTATATAAACAAGATGATGATTCATAACAGGTGATAAAGAGTGTTTTTGTTGAATTTTAACAATGTCGTTATAATTCAATGATGTAAAGATTCTTACTAGAATGTTATATTTAAGAATCGAATAAAAATTATTTTGTTAAAATATTTTTTTTAAGCTATGGAAAATACTATACAATAAGAGCTCATATATATATATATATATATATATATATATATATATTTAAAAAAATTACATAATTTAATATAATTCAATTTTTTAGCACGTTTAGATACTATAATTTGTAATAAAAATTATGATTTTTTTATTATATATAATTATTTACAAATAAAAAAATATTTTTAAAAATTATAAGATCCTATGCATTAAAATCACACATTAGCCAATATTGTAATTTCAATAAAATTTTATTATTTATTAATTTTTTATTATCTATCCTCGAATAGATGTAAGAAAGTTGTATTTTATTAAATAAATATTAAATAAGAATGTGAATTTACTATTTGTTTGGAGTAAGAAATTTTTTTTAAGTTATAAAATTACAGTGGAAGAAACTATATTTCGAGGGGTTGTGGAGAGTTATAGAAGGAACCTCATTATTAAAAATAGATGCGAATTCAAGAAGTCTTAAATTTTTTTTGAAAAGGCTACATTTTGAGCCATTTTAGAAGCTTTTATCACACTCAGGCTTCCCTCAAAATTGCTTGAAAGATAGGAGAGTAGTAAAAAATCTTTCAAGTCTATAAGATTGAAGGCCTTTTCGAAGAGTTTTTGAGAATTTTCTAATCTCTAGACTAAGAATAGCTAAAATTGCTTAGAAAATAAGACTATCAAAAAATTATCCTAGTCCACAAAATTGTGGGTTTTTTCAAGGAGTATTAAAGAGTTTTCAAGTCACTTACACCTAAAAAACTACTCAAAAAATAAGACTAATAAGAAAATATTTCAAGTCCACAAGATTAGAGGTTTTTAGAAGAGTATTGAGGAGTTTTTAAGTCCCTTACACCTAAAAAACAACTCGAAAAGTAAGACTGACAGAAAAATATTCTGAGTCCACAAGACTGGAGGGTTTTAGAGGAGTTTTCAAGAGTTTTCAAGTCTCTTACATCTATTTACTCGAAAAATAGGACTAACAGGAGAATATTATAAGTCTAAAATACTGACAGTTGTTCGAGGAGTTTTTAAGTCCACAACACCCAAAGTAGCTCAAAAAATTGGACTAATAGGAAATAGTTTAAGTCCACAAACCTAGTTGAACCTCATATTCCCTCAAGAATTGCTTGAAAAACAGAAAATAGTCAAAAAAACATTTGAAGTCCATAAGACCAAAAAGGGCTCTCAAATTCTATAGAATTAGTCAGAAAATAGAAATTGAGGAAAAATTATTTTAAGTCCATAACACTAAAAAAG